CCCAAAGCAAAGAAGGGTTATAAAATGAGTTAAACCAAAGAATCGACAACGGCACAATTCTATTGTGTCTATATAGACAGCAATCATACAGTTTCAGACCCGTAGGATGCTTCGTTAGCTCAATTGTATCCCACTGGGCTACGGAACGGATGACCTAGATTCGAATCCCAGACTGAGCGTTCTTGGGCTCAGGTCATTTTGTAGAGTTTTCAAGGCTCATAATCAATTTGGTTCAGTCCCTTTGGAGACGGATGTTAAATTTGGAGGTCCAGCCACTTAAATAACCTAACAGTGTTGATGGGAGTGCTGAATCTGTACGATTTCTTTCTTTTTTTTTTTGGAACAACCACAAACCCTGATTATCGGCGGCGCTCTCCGGCATCACCATCATGGCGCTGCTCCATTTCCGCTCTAGGAATAGATCCACCACCGCCAGGTTCTGCGCCTGCGCAGGGGGCCGGATCTCCACCACCGTCCGCCAGTTCACTGTGTCCTGAACACGGCTCATGTCTATCCAGTCAAATCCTGGGAGGGAGAGCATTAGGAACATTGGTGAGGCGAGCTGATATAATGAGTTACTTCTTTCAATACTCCGTAAATGAAGGTATCGGCCGAAAATAGAGACAAGGGTTACTTTTGTAGATTTTCAGCTGATGCCATTATCTTCAAATTTAACTTGTCTTTTTTTTTCACACTGACAGAGTGTACAAGCTCAATCATATAAAAAAGTGATATTTATATCTTTTTCCATCGGGCTAAAATCCGAAAAATAACAGATTTCGTCTGGTATATTGTTTTACGTCAACATGTGTTGTTGAGTAATGGTTTCTGCCTAGCCAGGACAACAGCGGCTTGTTTTTTCCCAAGTTTTCTTTTATTGTACTGACCTCCTCTACTTCCCCCTAAAAACAACAACAGCAACAACAAAAATCCACCATCATAACAAATCTTCACCCAGGCCCAAATGATTAATTTTTAAAAAGCCATTTTGAACAACAGCAGACTAGCAATATATATATTTGTTAGCCTTATGTTGAATAATCCTAACGCTAAAATGAACCAGAAAGCATTAACCGAATTCCGGCTATAAATGGCATAAATTACTCCCCCCCCCCCTTTACACACGCACACACACACCGGAAACAGACGCTTACATTACCTTTGTAGTCTGTAACCAAATAGGGAATTCCCATTCGTTGAAGCATCATAGCGAGGTTGGTGTAGAAGGGACCTATAATTAGATTAGGGATTTCCCCATCCAAAGCACCCTGGGTCGACAGAGCTGCGGAACCAAATACAGCTAGGAAAATAAAAACATGATGTGACAATTTTTTTTAAAAGACTGCAAACGTAATTTGATATACAATAATGGCAGGACGTTTTTGCGATATATTTTACAATTGTTTTTTCGTAGTCTGTAACGTAAATGTACAGATACTTCGTTGTTGCACGCAGAAGACATGAGTTCAATTTCCGTGCGTGCTTTTTTAATCTTGTATATCCGTCTTTTTGATGGGATGGTGCACAACACCCAGTCCGAGTTATCTCTGACAGGCAAGAGGCAACATTGAAGCAGACCGCTTCCTAGATAATTTCGATTTTTTGAATTTACATATTTACATCCTTTTGCATGGAAACGATGCTTCTCTGCTTTTCGGTTAAACTTCAAATAAAGCTACGATAGAAAAAAA